AAAACAATACAAAGAATCAATGCAATGAAGAGTTGGTTCTTTGAGAAAATCAACAAGATAGACAAACCTTTGTCCAAACTTACCAAACAGCAGAGAGTGAACACGCAAATTAACAAAATCAGAAATGAAAAGGGGGACATAACAACAGACTCTGAGGAAATCCAGAGAATCATTAGGTCATACTTTGAAAACCTGTACTCCACAAAATTTGAAAATTTAAAGGAAATGGATGACTTCCTGGACAGCTATCATTTGCCAAAACTAAATCAAGAACAGATAAGCAATTTAAATAGACATATAACCCCTATGGAAATAGAAGCTGTCATCAAAAGTCTCCCAACCAAAAAAAGTCCAGGTCCAGATGGCCTCAGTGCAGAATTCTACCAGAAATTCAAAGAACAGATTATACCAATTCTTCTCAAAGTGTTCCACACAATAGAAGCAGAAGGGTCTTTGCCAAACTCTTTCTATGAGGCTTTAATAACCTTGATCCCCAAGCCACACAAAGATACAACTAAGAAAGAGAACTTCAGACCAATATCCCTCATGAACATTGATGCAAAAATACTCAATAAAATACTGGCAAATCAGATCCGAAACACATCAAAACAGTCATTCACCAGGATCAAGTAGGTTTCATCCCAGGGATGCAGGGATTGTTCAACATATGAAAATCCATCAACGTAATCCACCATATAAACAAGCTGAAAAACAAAAATCACATGATCATATCACTAGATGCTGAAAAAGCCTTTGACAAAATCCAACACCCCTTCATGATAAAGGTCTTGGAGAGATCTGCGATAACAGGGACATACTTAAACATAATAAAAGCTATATACAGTAAACCAACAGCCAACATCAAACTAAATGGACAGAAACTCAATGCAATTCCTCTAAAATCAGGAACAAAACAAGGCTGTCCACTCTCTCCATACCTTTTCAACATGGTACTTGAAGTTCTAGCTATTGCCATACAACAAAAAGGGGGATCAAGGGGATACAAATTGGGAAGGAAGAGGTCAAACTTTCACTGTTTGCAGACGATATGATAGTTTACATCAATGACCCAAAGAACTCTACCAGGGAACTCTTACAGCTGATTAACACCTTCAGCAAAGTGGCAGGCTACAAGATCAACTCAAGAAAATCAGTAGCTCTACTATATACAGATGATAAAAGGGCTGAAAGAGAAATCAGAGAAACATCACCCTTTACAGTTGCCACAAACAGCATAAAATACCGTGGGGTAACGCTAACCAAACAAGTGAAAGACCTGTATAGTAAGAACTTTGAATCTTTGAAGAAAGAAATTAAAGGAGCCCTCAGAAAATGGAAAGATCTCCCATGCTCTTGGACAGGTAGGATCAATGTAGTAAAAATGGCAATCCTGCCAAAAGCAATCTACAGATTCAATGCAATCCCCATTAAAACCCCAGCACAATTCTTCACAGACCTTGAAAGAACAATAATCAATTTTGTATGGAAAAACAAAAGACCCAGGATAGCCAAAACAACCCTGTTCAACAAGGCAACGTCCGGAGGCATCACCATCCCTGACCTCAAGCTCTATTACAGAGCTATAGTCCTGAAAACAGCTTGGCTTTGGCACAAAAATAGACAGGTAGACCAATGGAATCGAATTGAAAACCCGGGTATTAACCCACACACGTACGAACATCTGATCTTTGGCAAAGAAGCTAAAAATATACAATGGAATAAAGAAAGCATCTTCAACAAATGGTGCTGGCATAATTGGAGACTGGCATGTAGAAGAATACGGATCGATCCATGTTTATCGCCATGCACAAAACTTAAGTCCAAATGGATCAAAGACCTCAACATAAATCCAGCCACACTGAACCATTTGGAAGAGAAAGTGGGTGGTACCCTTGAACGAATTGGTACAGGAGACAGCTTCCAGAACATAACACCAGTAGCACAGACAGTGAGATCAACAATTAATAAATGGGACCTACTGAAACTGAGAAGCTTCTGTAAGGCAAAGGACACAGTCAGCAAGACCAAAAGGCAGCCCACAGAATGGGAAAAAAATATTCACTAATCCCACATCTGACAGAGGGGTGATCTCCAAAATTTACAAAGAACTCGAGAAGCAAGTCTCCAAAACACCAAAGGACCCTATTAAAAAGTGGGCTGCAGAACTAAATAGAGAGTTTTCAATAGAGGAGTCTAAAATGGCTGAGAGGCACTTGAGAAAGTGCTCAACATCCTTAGCCATCCGGGAAATGCAAACCAAACCACTCTGAGAAACCATCTCACTCCTGTCAGAATGGCTAAAATCAAAAACACCAATGACAATTTATGCTGGAGAGGATGTGGCGAAAGGGGGACACTCCTCCATTGCTGGTGGGAGTGCCAACTGGTTCAGCCACTTTGGAAATCAGTATGGAGATTCCTCAGAAAATGGGAATAAACCTACCACAAGACCCAGCAACTCCACCCTTAGGCATATATCCAAAAGATGCCCATTCATACAACAAAGATGTCTGTTCCACTATGTTCATAGCAGCTCTATTTGTAATAGCCAGAACTTGGAAGCAGCCTAGATGTCCCTCACCCGAAGAGTGGATAGAGAAAATGTGGTACATCTACACAATGGAGTACTATTCAGCAGAAAAAAATAATGGAATCCTGAGATTCGCAGGCAAATGGATGACACTAGAAGAAACCATCCTGAGTGAGGCAACCCAGTCACAAAAAGAGAAACATGGCATGTACTCTCTCATATATGGATTTTAGACATAGATCTGGGGAGTGCCAGCCTATAATCCTATGGCCAGAGAGTCTGGGAAACAGAAACTTCATTTAGTGGCTGATCGAAGAAGAGGCAGACTCCCTTGGTTAAGTACTGAGCTGAACTCAAGAAAGCCAGTAACAGAGAGGGAGGACTGATGATCAAAGGGATTAAGACTGGGCTGGTTTAACCCCCAGAAACAGCTGACCAGACAAAGGTTAACTTTTGAATCCCAGGCATCAGCCTGGGAATCCAGCATGGGACTGATCAAGACCCCCTGAATCTGGGTGTCAACGAGGAGGCCTAGGGAATCTATTGAGCCTTGGGCAGCAGATCAGTACCCATCCTGAGTATACACACGGACTTTGGACTCCCATAGAACAATGTGAGGTGCACTCTCACTCTGAACTCTTGGGGAAGGGTCTAGGCGCTGCCCTGGATGAAATGACAGACTATGGACACCCCCATGGAGGGCCTCACCCTCCCCTCCCTGGGGGAATGAGGGGATAACGGGGGGGGGGAGGGAGGAGGGCATGGGAGGAGGGGAGGGAATGGGAGGTGGACCTGGAACTGACTTGTGAAGCAACCTCATTTCTTATCCAAATTTAAACTGGAAAATAAAATTTAAAAAAAGTGGGCTACATAACTACATAGAGAATGCTCAATGGAGAAGTCTAAAATGGCTGAGAGGCACTTGAGAAAGTGATCAATATCCTTGGCCATCCGAGAAATGCAAATCAAAACAGCCCTGAGGTAACATCTTACTCTGTCAGAATGGCTAAAATCAAAACCCCAACAACCATTTATGCTGGTTAGGTTGTGGTGAAAGGAGAACACTCCTCCACAGCTGGTGGTTGTGCCAACTCATACAGCCACTTTGCAAATCAGTATGGAGATTCCTCAGAAAAATGGGAATGAGCCTACCACAATACCCATCAACTCCACTCTTGGGCACATATCCAAAAGAGGAAAATTCATACAACAAGGACATCTGTTCCACTATGTTCATAGCAGCATTAATTGTAGTAGCCAGAATTTGGAAGCAACCTAGATGCCCCTCAAGAGTAGAGTCGATACACAAAATGTGGTACATTTACACAATGGAGTACTATCCAGCAGAAAAAAACAATGGGATCCTGAAATTTGCAGGCAAAGGGATGGCACTAGAAGAAATCCTCCTGAGTGAGGTAACCCATTCACAAAAAGAGAAACATGGCATATACTCTCTCACATATGGATTTTAGATAGAGATCTGGGGAGTGCCAGCCTACAACCCCATGGCCAGAGAGCCTGGCAAACCGAACCTTCATTCAATGGCTGATGGAAGCAGAGTCAGACTCCCACATCTAAACACTGAGCTGAACTCAAGGAATCCAGTGACAGAGAAGGAGGACTGATGAGCAAAGGGGTTAAGCCTGGGCTGGTTTAACATCCAAAAACAGCTGACCTGACAAGGGTTAGCTTTGAATCCCAGACTTAGGGCTGTGAATCCAGCATGGTAGTGATCAAGACCCACTGTATGTGGGGGTCAATGAGGGGACCTAGGCAGTCGATTGGGCCTTGGGTAGTAGATCAGTATTTATCCCTGACATATAAATGGATTTTAGAGGCCCATCCAACAATGAGAGATGCACTCTCATCCTGGACTATTGGGGAAGGGTCTAGGCCCTGCCCCGGACAAAATGAAATACTATGGATACCCCCATGGAAGGCCTCACCCTCCCTGGTGAAATGGGGGCGTGCCTAGGGTGGAACGTGGGAGGGCGTTGGAGGAGAGGAGGGAAAGGGAGAGGGACCTGGGATTGACAGGCAAAGCCCCCTTGTTTCTAATTTAAATTTAAATTTAAAAATTAAAAAGAAAGAAAGAAAAATAAATCATATGCTTATATGAAATTTTCAAATGATAAAAGAAAACATGTTATAATGAAAATCAGGCTCCTCTCATGACAAATTTAACAGGTTGGAAAGTGCTTATTCCATGCCATCTGGTTTTGTGTGTTTGTACAATATTCACCTGCCACGGTGTCTTAAATGCAATCAAATCACTTTTGGAAGTGTTTTAAGAATAATAATAGAATGCTCCCTGAGGGATAAAGGAAACACAAACCAGAATGATCTACAGAGAAGAGGTGACATGGGGAAGAGTTTGCAGAAGGGGGCTTCCAGCCACGTCTTCCTCTGCAATGAGCATTGCCTGAAGGAAAGAAAAGTGGTTTGGGAAGTAGCTCTTGAAGAAACTCACCAATAGCCTCCTGTCTCCTGGCAGACTCTCTTCCTCTACAATCATAGCCCACCCCCACCCCCCCGACGTATCACGATGGTCCATTCTTATTTTTCAGGTACATTCTACTTTCTCAGGTACCTCCTGATTTCTCTGGAAGCCCACCCCTCAACCCTATGCCCAGTGCCCAGAGAGGTCAGAAGTGGTGCTCTATGATGCTGGAAAGGCTCATAATGGCAGGCAAAGCTGTGCTGACCAATCAGGGCTGAAGGGTGTGGCCCTGCATTGTTTGGCAGGCTAGATCACTGGGGTGCAGAGAGCTGTGGGTCAGACCTCTCTCTGGTAGGCTCCGTTATGGATGTTAGTGAGGAGACAGTGGAGCCTAATACACATTTAGAACCTTCAACCTCAGAATACCAGCAAAAGAATGCCGTGAATTCCAGTCAGGATTATCCCTGCACACCTGGCACAGCTGCAGGTCAGCCGATTTCGGCAAGTTACGGAAAGGTGAGACGACTAGATCAAAGTATCCTTTCTTCTTCATTTGGCAGTTTCCCTTCCCTGGGACTCTTGTCTCTCCGTGGCCTGGCATGGATTTCCTCCTCAGCCCACACCTTTTCCTCACAGTGTCCCCTTCACATGCTTATCATCACTGTGCTGTCCTTGCAGGTTCAAAAGACTTTTAAGAGGCGAAGAAGACCAAGGCGGCGCAGGAGGCTAAGGAGGAGACTCCCTGAGAGGAACTTGAAAAACCTTGTGAAAGATGTGGGTATGCCTTGCCCTAAGTGCTACCATCTGCTCAGCGTGGAACTGTGCAAGAATGATCCTCGTCAAGAAGGGGTCACAATGAGCACAAGAGTAACTACTGGGGACCTGACCAGCTCATGGAGTCAGCATGGTCAAGACCTCTTAACTCATCAGAGGTCTTGATGCTGGCTGAGTCATGGCCAGTCATGGATATTGGTACTTCCATTGACAGTTACCAAAGAGTCCTCTTGTGGTACCCCAAATAAAAGCAAAGATATGTGAGCAGATGAGTTTCCTGTGGTGTGTGGTGGGTACATGGTCTGGTAAGAGGGGGACATTGATTTCTACAGGTCTGGAAGCCTGACGACTGGTCTACCTATAGCATGGTGAGGAAGGATCCATACTACAGTTGGCAACCATGCAGAAGATCGGCTTGCTTCTGATGCTTTACTTCCTGGGAGACGATGTTGTCC